AAAAAAATGGATAAGCACCAGCTCGTTCAAAAAATTAACGAGTATTATATATCACCAAAGCAGATGCGTAAAGTACAGATGACACTCACCGGATCGCTTTTGATGTGCTGGAATGCTCCGGCGACGTGTGTAGCGCCGTAGATGAGCGCAATAAGGGAGATGATCGTCTGAGCTAGTACGTCTGCAGGCAATGAGATAAAAGGTTGTTCAGTCAATCGAAGGTACGAACGATGCTGAAAGAAAACTGTTAGAATGTCAGATGATCTAGTCTGACAACCAGCTTATACCTGAGCAGCTGAATAAGCGCAATGAAGAAGGCTAGCAAGCGAAGCGAGTGTGATGACGTTGTAAAGGGTCTTGGACATGGCCACAAAGTGGCTATCTTTTAGCCGACGTAGCCTACCTAAAATGATAGATGAAGTTCCTGCTACACAGACACGACCATAAATTACGTGACCGCAACCACGACCGACCGACTACAAAACATAAATTTAAGAAACAACAAAAAATTGAAACAAAAAAAACATAAACCAAAACCATAAATTTGAATTTAATTTGATTTAGCATAACAATTACGGAGCACTAACAAAACAGGTTAGATTGACGGTAGCGAAAAGCAGTTTTTTCTAAGTTTTTTCGTCGTCGTCATCGTCGTTCAATTTTCACAAAAGAATGGCAAAAATGAACCTCGGTTTAACAGTAGTAATTTGCAGCAACTCTCATCCAATCGCGCTTTTTGTCGTGCGTTTGCACTAGACGCAAACTACCGTTCTATGACTGGTTACCGAGCTCAATTCAAAGACAGATAGATAGCAAACAACAATGGGCATATTTCTGAAGTTTGATATAACATATGGGCCAAGACGTAAAAGAAATCATGCTTAGATCCAAGAGCCATCTACCAATTACTTAAGGCTTTTTCACAATAAGTGCAGATTCGCAATTCCAGGTCGTGAAGGTCGGTGAGCTGCAGAAACTTCCTCGATTTTCTTCATCTTATGTCATCAAATGCTATCCAATAAAAGCGGTTTTGAGAGGATGGGAGTGAACAAGTCTACTTATAAGGGA